ATTAGAAGGCTGGCTACTACTGTACCGTGTACCGTAGCGTCCGCTGTCACAACCAAATGAAAATCGTGCGCCCACCTGCGAATCTTCACATTACCAGTCCAAGTCTCTCAATGAAGAAAACAGAGTACATACATACCGTGTCCCCACATGGATGAGGAATGCTCCTGTCGCAGCATTCAAATTCGCAATCTCAATCCTTGAGGATATTGGCAATCTCCGCTATGCATAATCTCCGTGTGGCGCTGGCCAATCACAGAGAAGTGGCTGTGGTTGTAACCTGCAGCTACCAGTACCTCGACGTCTTACCTAGCAACGCTGCCTTCCTTTTGCCAAGATGGGAACAGGATTCAAATCCTATCCATGGCTTGCACTTCCAGTTCCAGTTCCCTTTCCAGATCCTCCCTCCTACTGTGTAGACACTAAACAGCGACAGGTCAGCCAGTGTGTGACTTGTTGTCAGCTCAACAATGCCAGACAACAACACCGAAACTCACACACCCTGAGCCATGCCTGCGTCTCGGTTTTCGGACGAGTTATCCTACCACACATGGCATAACACACTCAGACATATTGAAACTCTCACCATATATCGCCCTCCTTTGCGCTTACTGGCGATATTGACCCGTTGAAGTTACCACTCGGTGCTATCTTGCCGCCTTGCTTGCCGACTTGTTCCTACCGTATCGCTGCCCAAGTCTTGGTAAGCACTGCTTATGTATAGGTAGCCACCATCGGTCTTTGGCAAGCACTGCGATCACATGTACTTGCGCCGCGCCGACCAACTCTCCACCCCTCTCTATTCGGAGATATTGCCAACGCGCCGCCACGCCCTATGGGAACATGCTCCTCACCCGACCCTGAATGCACGGCCTCACTTGCAATGCCCTCATGGTGGAGGAACAAACGAAGTTGCTCTTTCGCTACCAACGCTGCTTCGGCTCAATAAATCATACATCGTACCTCTTTCCCTGCACAGCGGATTTGCGAAGAGAGGGTGTGTCAACCAACGTAAGCCCGAACCGTGTGTTCCCAACGAAGATTGAGATTTACCCTCGACTGTACGAGAAACACTATCCCACACCCAAGAAACACACATGCCTATAAGCACATGTCCCGTGTAGCCCAATTTCACTGGCTTGACTTGACTTGAACGTATTGCTGTGCTGATTTGTCCATGGTGTGTAGTAGTATACACACCATGCGTACATATGTTGTGCTGGCGACACATACACGTCAGATGTGGGGCGAGTCAAACCCACTCCTGATCTCGTCCTCTTTTTTCCCTGGAAACAAATAACATTTGAGCCATCAGACCAGCATTTGCGCGCATGCCATGGCGTACTGCGGTGGTGGAGCCCACATGCTGCATGTCGCGAAGAACGAGCCAGGTTGGATAGGCAACTGCGATTGAAATGCCTTGTCCAGATCGTGATGGCATGCGTAACGAATAAATGGGATTTTCTCGGCTCAACTCGTACACGTCATGATGTGATGCCGTGGTTATGCAGGACTGTATGTATAATTGGTTTTTGGTGGCTTGGCGGAGGGAGGGGGAGTGGAGGAGTGGTCGGGAATATGTGTATGTATTACTGCGGGCTTGGACTGGGGCTTGAGATTGAGATCAAAGTTGAAATCAAGAACTTGAAAATGAACTTGAAATCAAAATTGAGCTGCAGAGAATCATGGGGCTAGAATGCCTGACACTGACATGGTCAGATATAGACGTGAATATACCGTCACATACCATCACAGCCATTCAAAATTGCTTGAGCCGTCCGCTTAGATGTTACTCGAGTGCAGTAGACTGATGGATGGGTGAGTAAATACTGGCGGGATACGCACTGAGCTGTTGTATACATACATGGCTCTCTCTCTTTCTCCATACCTATCACCCCTCTTTCTCCCCGCCCCAACCAACCTAACTCTACTCTTTCACCCCATCCTTTCACCCCTCTATCCTCTATCCACCGCATACAATCTCACATTCCTTCCTCAAGCACTTGCAAGAAGTGGCCAAGTTAGCTTTGTTGTTTGGGGTGTGGCGGGACTAGGAGACAGGCGATGGATCGTGAAGAATGGTGGACCACCGTCTCTGTGATCGTGGGGCTTGGTACTTGCAATGTGGGATGCGATTGGGGTTTGGATTTGTAGAAGCTGGGATGTGAGGTTTGGTGAGTGTTTTGTGGTGTGTTTTGTGGTGGTGTGCTGTGAGATGATATTATCCATTTACTCGTATGACTTGGGTCGTTGTGAAATGATCTCGTTGCTCTTGCTGGGTAGTAAGAGTCTGTGGTATCGTACATGATAATTCTGGTCCCAGAGTGGGGTGTTACGAGGTTTCTTATAGCTGGCTGGTGTTGACTGCTTTTACGGTTCGGGTAGCGATGATGTACAGAGTAGGGGGTGAAGAAAAGACCACATACTTTCATCATACAAAGCGTTTTACGATGAGAGAAACCCTTTACAATAGATTCATTCTTAATGGAAACCTCCCCAAAACCACAACCCATTCACATATCCACAGACCCAGGACTGGGCGGCACATCGCCCGTATCCCACGCCACAGGCTCAGCCCCAAGTGCAAACTCCAGCGTACTCTCCTCCCCACCCTCCCTCACCAGGTCCTCATGCGCAAGCCAATTCCTATTCCAAGCCACACCGTTGACCTTGAGACTCTGCACATACGGGCCCTGCTCCAACCCCGTCGCCGTGATTCTCACCCTGCCACCCCCGTCTCCCAAAGTAATCGTAATATCCTCGAACCTCGGCGAAAGGATAAGATAAACCGGCTGCGTGACGACGGGATACAAGCCCACCATATTCCACACCAACCAACTACTCATGGCGCCCGCATCGTCATTCCCCGGGATCCCCGAGCGTCGCGTGCTATAGTACTGATCTACCACTTCACGCGACCTCATCACGCTCTTCCACTGCTTCTCGCCCAGGTAGTTGTACAGGAAGGGCGTCATGAAGTCGGGTTCGTTGCCGGGGTTGTAGATGGTTGTCCCGGCGTTGTTGCCGCTTTGTGTGGGCTCGGCGAGGCCCGGGATGAACATGGTGTCGAGGCGGGATTCGAAGAGCGCGGGGCCGCCCATGAGGCGGATGACTGAGGCGGTGTCGTGGGGGATTGTGAAGGAGTATTCCCATGGTACGCCTTCGTAGGATATGGCAGCCCAATTGCAGGCGCCGCAGCTAAGGGGATCGTAGGTTTGGATGCTGCCGTTGCCGTAGGTGGGGGCTAGGAAGCCGGTGAAGTTCAAGGAGGTGGTATTTACGGACCACATCTTTTGCCAGCCACTATATGTCATGTTAGTAGCTGTGATTGGTGTTTGTTTGGTAAGGAATCTATCTTACGTCGAGCGGTTAAGATACTTGACAACATCCTCCGGCGCTTCTCCTCTAGCGACTTGCGAAAGAGAAAAGTCATTCAGCGAGTATTCGACGGTTTTACTGACACTGCGACCCTTGGCTGGTGTGACGAAGCCGTACCGCTTCCAATCTTCCAGAGCACCACGGCCCTCCTTTGTGCTGCCTGAGGTATCTTCCCAGTCAAAGTTGTTGTACGGTAGCACCTCAGCGTTCGTCTTCATGGCAGCATAGCCATCCGTCCAGTTAATCCCGTCACGGAGACCTTTGACATATGCATCGGCCAGGACGTTATCCGCGTTCGAACCACCCTGGACTCTACCGTTGTGATTGCGGCTACGACCATCTGGCATGAATCTTTCATGACGCCAGATATCGATCAAAGCACGAACCATGTCCGTTGCACGACGGGGCAGGATTAGCGTAGTCATTGGTGTCAGACATCTAAATGTGTCCCAGATAGTATAGAAATCATCATAATATGGCTCACTCGATACCCAGTTTGGATTCTCGCCATCACGATCCGAAGGCATGAGGTATGAGTGGTAAAGGCCCGTGTAAAACATCTCAAGTTGAGTTTCGTTTGAGGTCTGTACATCCATTTTCGAAAGCACTTCCTGGTTCCAGCGGTCCTTGGCCGCCTGAACGGTGGCGTTGAGGTCCCAGTGTGGAATCTCATCAATGAACTGACAAGCTTTGTCTGCTGAAATCCATGATACACCGACCTTGGACATCACAGCGGAGGAGTTGGACGGGAATTGGAATAATGCACCGATGCGGTCGGCATATTGGTACATGATTGTTCCACCCTGGAGCGAGGTGTCGTCTGTGAAAGTGGGTTTGACGTTTGTCGTGTTTGGCCAATATGGATCGGTAGCTTCACCAGAGAAAAGTTGGACTTTGCTTGGTACGGTGTCGAATTTGCCACAAAAGTAGACGCGGTAGTCGCCACCTAAACCATTGTCAGTAACCCACGTTCACATCTCGACGATCCCAGAGTACATACCCATAGCCCATCCCTCCCGATAGACGCCGTATCCCGAATACATCGACCCATCTTCGCTCCTCTCAATCACCCCATTGCTATACCATTGCGACTTCTTGCCAATGGTGGGGATGTAGTGACTAACATCAACCAATACATATCTCTCGGTGTCCTCAGGATAGGAATACTTCATAATGCCCGCATGCATACTCGCACTCATCTCAGCTCTTACTCCATTCTCAAGATCCGTCTTGTAATAGCCTACATCCGCTACATCATCACCAACACGCGGCTGCATGTACGTGATGTTATCCAGTAGATTAACATTCTCGAGAGTTGTCAACGGCATTTGCGGGATGAGTCCGTAAGTAGGCGCTCCGCCAGTTCCACTTTCGTGCAACATGGTGATGGCGGTGACGTTGCCGTGAGGCGTATAACCTGCATTGGCTTGAAAGGAGGTATTCCATCTTGTCGAAGGTGGGATGAGTATGCAGTCCTAATTTCGGGTTGTAAATGATGTTTGAGCTCACCTGGTAGTGTCGATACCGACTTTGACTGCGCCGAACGGCAGCGCAGCTCCTGGGAAAACATTCCCTCCACGCCAAGCTGAGCCTGGTATTGGGCCTTCAGTTCCGATGAAGAGATTGACGTGCTGTGAATAGTCTCGTGAGGCATTGCCATTTGCGGCGGCGAGAGATGTCGCTATGAGCACCGATGCCAACGAGCGTGGTCGCATATTGACGTGTACCTATGTCGTCTTTGTCTTGATAGCTAACAAGACAAGACAAGCCCGTACGGACCAGTGGAAGACAATGCTTATATACGTCGACTCATGCCATTGTTGAAGTCGATCTTGCTCGGCCATCTCTAACCAAGCAGTACCGGTACCGGTATGGCCGGATTTTCTGAGCTAGGCGGATTTGATGGGCCCTTGAGTAGAGCTTCTCCAATAGACCCACTAGAAATCGTAGAATCGTGGTATGAAAACCGACAGGCCACGGCCTTTCTGGGAATCCGGTCGGAACATGTCTTCTTGGCGGTACATTTGATCCCCGTTATTTAGCCAGGTACCCCGCACAATGCTCTTCTTCCATGTTGGTGATGTTCCTGGGGCTATCTCGGTCGCGTTCACCGATGTGCGACACATAGGTAAGTCGTGGAGTGGCTTCAAAGCAAGATCCTTACATCATCTAGATCTGAGTGTTCGTAGTGACGAGGGAGACACATGCATGGTCCAGGTCGATGTGCACGTACAGCCATGGAGAGAATGTAACTCCACATCAGGGCAGTTACCGTGCAGGGTCGCAGATCAGCATCAAGCTAACGTAGCGTAGGAGCTAGATCAGGATCAACCTCGGTGTATGACATACCTACATGCCTCTAGCACCTGTAAACTGCGAAGAATCATCTTCTCTGAGTGGCCATCAACTGTGAGGACTCCCGGATCCTGGCTGTAATACTGCTATGTACGCTCTGCGTCACCCTACCGGAACCTGCTAACCCGAAGCCGTGTTGATTTGATTCCCCAGTGCAACATCGCGTAAAGAATTTCTGTCATCATGAACAGCAAAGCTCATCCTCCATATCTTACCTGAGGGTGCTGGTACGTACCGTAAACATTGCGCGCACGGTGCAGATTAGAGTCGGTTGATGAAATTGATCTCGGCGCCACTTTTAATGTGCAGTCTCTAAAAAAATTGTGAGCGAGATCAATGATGCATGTTTCGCATTTATCCTACGTGAGACATCATGAACTAGAAGCTACCAATTTTGATTAATGCGACTTCCAGATCTGCCTCTGTAAATTGAGCATTTGCGACTCCTACAACCAAGATCAACTATCCATAGGCATGCACTAGAGAGCTTGATCGGTTATTGAAATACCTCCAGTGTATAAGGCTGCCATTTTATGCATATCTCATGTTTGAAAGCGATTAGCTTCCTTGACATTATTAAGTGTCCTGAAGGTCAGTTTTTGCAGTGTATGCTGTCTTCTAAGGAACAAAAATAAAAATACAAATTGCGAGATCAGATTCCTTAGAATTTATAGGAGGCGACGTCTAACAATGGTCATGCTGCTCTTCATCACGCATTGTGACGCTCGACTGCGAGTGAAGTTTTTGTTCCGCGCCGCGACAGTGAAACCTCTGAGCCATATGAACATTGTGCATGCACTTTAAAGTAACAGAATTCGATTCTAATCAAACGGCAAGTCTGTTAAATACTTTTGCAAGAATGACCCCCTTGATCAGCATAACTTGGAGTAAGGAAATCGTTTGGCTGCAAAAGTCAGTGGAGAGACAATGGAGAGTGATCAAGAAGAGACATCAGACTTCGACCAGGAAGAGGCGATGCTCGAATCCCCAGAAGTTTTTCCAAGCAGATTCCCAACAGACAAGTATACTGATGCCATCAAGTTTGTCCAAGATGAGAACTTCAAGGGACGGATGTCACTCGACGCATTCCATACACTGTGGAGTCGTGGCTGCATCGAAGTTGACAAATTTCTAGACCCAGACCTCCGGAACGATATACACACTGTTTTCGCCCGCGAGAGATTCCCCCATCTTAGAGATGATGAATATGACTATATCCGACCAGCTACGACCCTGGCCTCTAGATTCATCCTAGAACGAAACTACTTGGGATTCTGGCTGCGGCTTTGTGCAGGCAGCCCAAGAACTCGAGTAGATCCCAACAAGAAGGGCGAAGAAGTCTACATTGGTGAAGTGGATGGTTTAACGGCCATGAAGACGACGGAAGCACTAAAAGAGATTGCTCAGCACATCACATGGTTCAACATAGACAGTCAGTGGTCGAAGCGCGACCCACGTCGAGTTGCTGAGGTATTCATGGACGCCGATTATCAGAAATGTCAACGATACAAGCTTTTTCACGATGGAGATTCGTGCGGAAGTTGCAGCTATTGTCATTCCCGAAACCGTGGCTTGTGCTGCATCTGCGGATTCCGTCAGTACCGGGAATATGGAAAAGATGAACTGCGAAACGTACATAAAGCTCGTGGGCTGACTGGATATGGCAGAATGTCAAAACGAGAACTCATTGACGCTCTTGAGGCAGATGATGATAATGCTGCCCTGGCTCCGAATCCAGCACCATCTAGTAATGCCGTGGACATCAAAGTGCCTCGCACAAGATTTCACGATATCAGAGTAGGTTTGCATGAAGACATGGTCAAACACATACGAGACCCAAAGCGCGACACATGGACTAGATGCGAAAAACTGCGGTTCCAGTCCGGTCTGGCAGCAACACTAGTACACGAGCTTGCTCATCCATTCTGGTACTTTGCTCAAAAGCGCTGCTGGAGCTGCTTCAACCCCGACCCGCGGCTCTCAGAAACGGAGCCACGGCATCAAAATGATCCCGAAATAGGTGTCTCGTGGGAATACTGGGCGTTTGGAATGCGAACGCCTGACGCAGGCAGGGATCAGAAGCTCACGAATGAAGCGATTCCGAATATATTCCAGCGACATCAATGGAATTACTCATACTCAACTTTAGAAGCTGGCCAAAGCAACGCTTCGCTTGATCTTGTGCAACACAACTTTGTTATACCGTTCGGGTATATCCATAGCTGGTTTCAAGAGTCAACCTGGCGGTCGATTGCTTCAAAAGGTAGGCTAGCTGGACGGCCCAGTTTCAGGAACGCAGTGGTTTTGCGTGCAGAGGCTGTCAAGCTCCGAAAGAGCTCTGAATCACTGCTTAAGTACCATATAGGAACTCGCGCCTGTACTATTGAGCCGTACCGATACGCTGAGCTAGTTGAGAATGGTGGTTTACGGTCGAAAGCACGGCGAGCGTGGATGTATGGTGAGCGATTTGCGACTGCGAAGCAAGCTGATAGACGTCTCAGACAGCTGCTAACAGACCACAATAACCGAAAGAAAGCAATAGCTAAAACATCATCTGAAGCAAACCCGAAGTTGAAAGCGGGAAGAAAGTCATGGGTAATGAAGATGCTGAAAGGGAGCAAGGGAGAAGATGAGCCTGTAGAAAAATAGATGATGAATAGAGATAACAGAAACTTAAAAGGCAAAATTGAACGCGAGGCTATTTGAGGCTTGATGTTGCTAGTAAAGTGATAATTATATACAGTACAAGCCTAGAAGAATTGTCCAAAGCATTCTCCATCTGGATGACAGTTACGTATGAGGTCACTTTCGCATGAAGACTCGTCGGCAAAACCGCGGCCGCTCCGATTGGCCGGCGCCCAAAAAGTCATCATTGCAACCACAACTACTTCACCAAGCCCAGGTCAGTTCCTCCTACGCGCCCCAACAACACATTTCCCATTACCTAGGAACACTCCCAAAAACCGCCAAGATGGTCAAGCTAGAAGAGGTTTTGGATGAGGAGTTCATCCGTGAACAAGAGGGCCCCCACGACGACGACGATTGGGATACCGATTCCGGTACGCCATAAACCACCACACTCTATTCTTCCCACCCAGCCTGATCGCATGATGTTTCTTCTGTGCAGAGGTGCAGAGCTAACCTATACGAATATACAGAATCAGACACATCCTCCATCCACTCCCTCCAACCCGATGAAACCCTCTACGAGCGCATCCTCGCACTCCAAGACATGATCCCCGCCAGCACACGCCGCTCCATCAGCTCAAAAACCAACACGCTGACATCTTGGTTGAAGTCGGGTCTGTTCATGGGCGGCAAGACGCTGTGGGTTGTCAGCACGAGTGCGTTGCTTTTGGGCGTGCCGTGGGCGCTGGCGTACAGCGAGGAGCAGATGATTGTGGAGCAGGAGAGGGCCGAGCTGCAGGCGCAGAGGGCGCAGAATGAGGTACGTTTTTGATTCCGAGATTTTGGGTCATTGGAGAGAGAATGTGTAGAGAGAAGTGGGGGTTCAAAATTCCACGTACTAATGCATCAGTAGTTTATGGCTCCTGGAACACCAGTACCTGGCCAGCCGGTGGGCGCGAAGCCAGCCTTGTGAACTGCTATGTCTCACGATCATTCTGAGGAGATTTGAGATCAATGCGCCCTGGAACTTTATACCCTTTCTGCATGAAAAGGCGAAGTTGGGCGGGGCAACGAAAATGCTGTGTAACGATGTGTACTATATTTCTCGAATACTCTCCGACGGTTTCCTAAATGCACAAATGATATCGAATATTACTAAGGCATCATAACTTTTTTTGTGGAACGTCCACATGCTATGCTACTCTATATTTACAAAAATGCATTTCATCCACCATCAAGCTACACATCACTCCGGCGAGCCAACTGTACTCCGTGAGAGCCGGTCTACCAAAATTTCGTAGCCCATTACACATCAACTATGCGCCTTTTCGAAAACGTGAGATGGATACTGTTGCAAGAGAGGATCTTTTGCAGCGCGCGTGTGATATCCCCTAACCAACCATCCGGATATCGTGTACCATGGGAATAGGTGTATCGCTGACTCGCTCCAATCAAAGGTGGTAATACAGCGTAAAGAGAAGATTTATGGGATTATAGTCGGTACATGAGCGGAGAGTTTTTAAAAGGGAATGGAGGCTGACGAGGCAGCGGCTTGTTCTTGCTGTTCCATGACAGCCTCGTCGGCGGCTTCTATCGCTACGGCAAGACCCAGCTTTGCGGCACTCTATAATACATATTAGTCGCAATCGTGTTTTGGGAGTGAAACATTCAAACATACCTGCTTGTGGTCGATCTCTCCGGAGAAGGTTACACGGATTGGAGGCGCAATCATTTTCTCCAACAAACATGCCACCTTGCCCTGGTTGTCGATCTGTGCCCTGAACGAAGACTGACGGAAGTCGTACTTGGCGCCAATGGTGACATTGCCCTCTTTTTGGGGGCCAGCCATTGGGCCTCCAGGTCCAATTCCGGCGAATGCGAGATTACAGTTGATGCCAGTCTCGACCTTTTCGGTGAGTCTGCGCCAGTAGGAAGCCTCTAGAACACCGCGGTCGGGGATGATCTGTCCGCATGCCATCCAGTCGGCAGTCTTGTATCGAGCCGCATATGAGACGTTCAACTCAGGTGGGTAGGCCATGGCTGCCCGACTCCAGAAGGCGTCAATGCCGAGCGACAGCTTGGAGGTCACGGATTGAAGGTAGCTGGCCATGAGCATGCCAGTGATGCCGCCATCGAGGATCGAAGGATTCACAGCCTTGAGCGAAGCAGAGAAGTCGGCACCAGTGTAGTCGTTCTCGAACGAGACCATGTTGCCCTGTGATGTGAGCTGCACCGCCGTCTTGGTAACGAAGGCAGAGGTCCAACGCCAGTTGAAGCGCCCAGAAAATTGCAGATCATTGTCGAGGTTGCCTTGCATGAATACCTAGCGGGGTCAGCTTGAGAGGGGAGCAACATGAGCTGAAGGACGAACCCTCGAGGAGCCATAGAGAGCCATGTACGAGTAGGGTGGCTGCAGTTGCGATCCCATGGACAGCGAATGTGCGACTTGGAATAGAGGGGCAGCGCTGAAGGCCTTGGTGAGCTCGGCGCGCAGGCCAGAGAAGCTCGAATTGTTCAGGAAGACATCGCGCTGCACCTCCCGAGCGATGCTCTCCACGGTGCCTGGGTTGGCCAGCCCCAATGCCCCTCTCCGATCCTGGAAGGCCGCATATACGTCTTGTAACCGGCCCAAAGGTCCGGTGTGGGTTATGCGTGGATGGGCGAAGACATCGGCCACCGCTTGCTCTTTGGTCGGATTGATTTCTATGGGAGAGGCCATGGCGGGGACGATAAATTTACTTGGCCCTGGAGACTGGCTGGAACCGCACGGGATGGGGAAGAAGCTGGCGGCGTGGGGCGGGAGATGTTGTGATGGCGTCGCAAGGCCTCGTCCTGCCTTGGTGACGATATCGTTGAACCTTTTTTCAAAAACATGGTCACGTGACCTGTCCCCTACGCTAATCCCCGGCCACCGATGATTTTCCGCTATCTATCAACCCATGCGTCGTCCAACATGACATGGCGGCCTGTTGGTAGTCTGCTTTTTGGGACCTTGACTGACTACCTACGACCCACCCCTCCATACATACCCCTCCCCTGGCTCCTCAAACCTTCTTGCGACACTGACCGTCTGTATTGGTCAGGTCTCGGCATCCGCTAGCTACGGAGCTGCACCTTGTGGTCTGACAGTTCTCCGGCCGTCAAGCATACCGTATAATCTACCGGTACCTACACAGGAACAGGATCCCTGGTACCTCCACCTGCCGGAAACGTGACGCATCTTGAACCGCCCCAAAGCAAGCGACTGCGCTTTTCCTTCACATCCAACTTACGTGTCCTTTGCCTTTTCTTTTCCTCGCTTCTTTGCTTTGATTCACTTATTATTGTAGAGCGTTGTAAAGATAATCTGCAAACATGGACACCCTACTGTAAGCGACCGGGCCCCCTCACGCTGCGTGAGAGCAAGGGCATGACCACACCAACAGGCAGCTGACTGGGCAAACAGAACCGCAGAGATATACGCAAACTCTCCCCGCTTCAGGCGGCGGTCGAGTACCTTTGTAGATGCAATTCACGATCTACCCGACAAGGAGGAAATGGCCCCTGCTCAACTGTACAGTACCGAATCTGGCCGACTGTTCCATTCAGGACGGATTGTAATCGCTACCGTTGGTCTTCCAGCCAGAGGTAAAACGCACACCTCTGTTGCTGTGGCTCGCTATTTACGTTGGCTCGGCGTCAAGACTCATGTATTCCATCTGGGAGATTATCGTCGTGCAACTCTTGGGCCAGGCAAGGATGTTCCGGACGACTACTTCTTTTTGAACGCCTCACCGCAGTCTGTGCTACTGCGAAACAAGATTCTGAAGAAATGTCGCGAAGACATTTATCATTTTCTGGAGAATGAAAAGGGACAGGTCGCTATTTACGATGCGGTCAATGCAATGACAGCAGGACGGAGATCGCTCGCAAAAGAATTTGCCAAGAACGGTATCCAGACAGTCTTCATCGAATCACATTGCACTGATGAGCGCATCATCCAGGAAAATGTTCGTCGGGTCAAAATCTCTTCCCCAGACTACCAAGGATGGAAAGACGAGGATGCGGTCCAAGACTATCTGGCGCGAATCAATTCGAGGATACCGCACTACGAAACCATGGAAGAGCCCGATTTGCACTGGATCAAAATGATCAACGCTGGCGAGCGTGTCGTGGTCAATAACTGTGCGTTCGGCTACCTGTCACAGCGGATCGTCTTTTACTTGCTCAATCTACACATCAAGTCGCGGCAGACATACTTTGCGCGTGCTGGTACCACTCGAGAAGAGGACTCGTACAAAGCCGACGCGGATCTGTCACCTCAAGGATACGACTATGCGAAGAAGATGAGCGAAGTGCTGCTGAAGTACCGTGAGGAGGAAAGGCAGAAGATGATTGAATCAGGCGCGCCTGATGCCTCGCTCAAGCCTTTGACAATCTGGACATCTACACGTCGGCGTACTGTACAGACATCCGAACACTTGGCCTCGATGGGCTATCGTGTGAGACAGAGATCGCAGATGAGTCAGATGAATCCAGGTGTATGTGAAAAAATGTCCGAGGCGAAGATTCGGGAAGAATTCCCGGAAGAAGTCAGGAAGCATGAGGCGGATCCGTATCATCATCGGTACCCGCGCGCAGAGGTAAGTGTGCTCAGGATTTGCAGTTGGCATGTGCTAATTCTGTCAAGTCGTACCACGACTTGGCGGTGCGTATGGAGCCAATCATTCTCGAGCTCGAGCGTGAAGAAAACGACCTTCTCATCATCGCGCACGAGTCTGTCCTCCGTGTGCTGTACGGATATCTAATGGCGTGTAATGCAGCCGACATTCCCAAGCTCCAGTTCCCCCGTGACGAAATCATAGAGGTAAGCCGCCGCCCCTTTACACTATGCCCTACTTGCTTGAGCACGCGAAACAAAGCTGACAACGAGAGCAGATCATCCCGTCGAGCTACAACAACGTTGCTAAACGCATCAAGATTCCTAATCTCCCCGAATCCATGGTCCCCGGTAGTCCTGAAGATATTCAAATCCCCGTTCCTCCAAGCGGTGCGGCAAGCCCGCTGCCCTCTGCAGACTCTGGAGCCGCCACCCCACAACAAACATCACAGCAGCCTCTTCAGCTCAAGAAGAACTTTGTCAATCCTTCTGATTGATCGAGTTGGAATTCGTTGACGTGGATGTGGGGGTGAAGAAAGGATTTCTTTCTTTTTTTGTCAGAAATACGACTACAGGTGAGGAGTATGTTATAGACGCGCGGGATCCACGCATGCATACATGCCGTAGGTTACATTTTGCGGAAACGAGGGATAGACATGAGGAATGAATATGGTTTTGTTTCCCTTTTCCTTTTTCTTTTGGGAGGGTGGGGATAGTGGGTACTGCGACACTTGGCTACAGAATGTGTCGATGTTATCACAATAGACCTTTGCAACATGGAAAATCGAAATTTGACCAACGTGTTGATATTCATATAATCTAGAAATCCAAACAATGGTGATGCATGTAGTTCTTTGCGCGCCAACCCAACGACTGCAGACGAGACTAGACTAGATTGGAGTGGACTAGTTGGCCTGCATTCGTTAGTCTAGCTCACTTCATGTGCACCCAATGTAGTTAGGTAAACCCCAGACGAGCGGGATTTCGCTGTGACGTCTTTGATTCTGGTGGAAGAGTATGGGGGTATGTGTATTACCGCCGCGTGACACGGAGATTTAGATGGTCATTTGGGGGAAGTTTTTCCCTTCTTCTTTGTATCCTTCTCTCTTTTCTTTCTCAAAGGATTCCAGTGTATTTGTACGTATTGACAACACCAGGTTGAGAAATCATTAGGGTCTTTTGGGAAGGTGGGAATCGTTGTACTTGACTGCTACGTGCTGCTTGTACGTGTATCTGGGATTTGTATATATCGATACCAACAAACCTTGGTCTTGGATTCTGAGGATCCCAAACCTCGTCCTTCATACCTATCCACCAAACCAAACCCCAGAAATGGGAAACACACCCTCCACCATGCGCTACCTCGCGCCCGCCTCCTTCCTCTACGACTTCGCACTGCAGCAATATGGCATCTTCAGCAAGCCCAATATGGTGGACATCCACAATCAGAACCTCGCGGCCTTTTCGCCCTATTACGCCTTCATCGGCGCGTTCTTCTTCCCCCAGCAGATCTGCCAGCTCGTGTGGCTGTGGCGGGTGTGGCGGCAGGAGGGGGATGAGGGGGAGTGTGCAATGATGAATCGGTTTGGGTGGGTGTATAGTTTGGGGAATGTTTGTATTGGGAGTATGTGATTTATTTTCTTCTGTTCTGTTCCATGGTCCTACCTACGTTGAGCTTCAGAGAATGAAAAAGGGACAGCGAGCTGACGAGGACAATGATAGCATGGATGTTCTTCTGGAACGCCAACAACCTGCCCGTCGCCAACATCTTTGTCATCATCAACACCGTGGCCCAGCTCGGCTACATCGCCACCCAGCTCGAACCGCTGGACACGGGCTCGACGGCCAATCTGCTCACGCACATTGTCGCAAAGACGTTTGCGGGCATTGGCGTCCTGGACTTGCTGCACAACACGGCTGCGGCGTACTACGTCGGGGTGCCGCCCAGTTCGTTCGTGCAGGTGGCTACGGGGGTCGGGTTCGCGGCTGCGGCGAGCATGAGCGATTGGATCTTTGGCGGGTGTTTGGTGTATGATTTGGTTGCGCTGAGTGTGGGGCAGACGGGCAGTTGGTCGCGGTTGTTGGGGGGATATGCGGCCATGACGGCGGGCATTGTGGCGTGGAGGAATTTCTTCTAGTATGTGTCTGCACGGTTGATTGCATGATGGGCTGTGTGTGGAGATGCGTACTAACCAATCTTGTGTAGTCCAAGGTGGAAGGGGAAGATGGAGGATGGGTATGCCAGGGTTGGAGAGGGTGGGGATTGACACGCAGACGGATAGAGATGGAGGTTCTGGCCGTCTGGAAGTTGTAGGCATGAATGTACCTTTTTTCAGTAGCAAGCCCATTTCTGCTACAGTACGTTGTGTCGTTGTTTGCCAGTCTGTCGTGCTACTCTTCTTCTCTTCCTGACCTGTATGATGCCATCACAGCAGCCCCGCCAATCTGGGTATTCGACGATGCCGCCAGTGACTCGAGGAGGTCAACTGGGGTTTCTGTTGGTGGTTCCTTTCATGTTGTCTGCTGAGAGAGACATGGCCAAGCCAACCCCCCAAAAAAGAAAAGAAGGCAAAAAGAAGGGTCTCCCGATGGCGGAGAGCTGATGGCGGAGGAAAGGAGGGGCAGCCGAAGGAAATGGCGGGGTCGTACAATCTGCAGAGAGAGCGGCTACCGGTACCGGCAGTGTGGAGATGGGCGATCGATGCTTCAATGCCAACATGGAACAAATGGATGGCTACTCTACTAGAGTAGCATGAATATCGCAGATCACATGTTGGTGGTACTCGACGAGTCTGCATACATGCCACCGACACCCTAGAGTACCGCACCAGCAGTGAGTGCTCTGCATCCTGTGCCTGTGCATACCTATCTATCCTCACTCTTCGTCTGGTCTTCCCCGAGTCGCTGGACAAAGACTTCTTCGCTGAAAAGAAACCCCCACACCCAAGCGCGAGCGGCGGCGGATATCAGCTAGTCGGGTCGTTAGCAGTGGCCATGGGCAGATACGGTACCGTAAGCTTCTTATCTATTCTCTCCATGGATCGTTGATGAATGGCCCAGCCACTTTGCCCGCCCACTTCTGCACCCAGTGACAACCCCGTCATGCCTCATCTTAGCCCAGCTTGTCGCGCTTGCTTCGTATCGGGCTTGGACGACCCATTCGTCGCGCATTGCTCGGCCGGCGGAGAGAGAGCTTCTGGGAGAGGGTCTGCGTGATGGCCTGGATGATCGTGGACGGGAAGAGACGCTGTCTTTTGTGTCCTGAGTCGTCGCTGTTGCTTGCATCACTCCTCACCCTACGTCTGACCCTACTTCCTATCCTCTTTCATCTTCTTCACGGCCACGCGTTGTGCGCTTGTGGCTTCTTTTTGGGCTGATCGTACGCTTGCTCTTGATAGCGCGTGCAGCACATCTCGACTTCTTTCCACCCGCCTCGGCTCACCAACGTCAGCGCGCGTCCTGGGCTCACAGACACCCAGCGTCGCCTTTGAGATTTGCATTCGAGTCTCGTTACTTCTGCAACTCTCAATACTGCTCAAGGACACCAGGTTGTTCCCAGGTCAGGGCTGAGACTGTGTCCGCGTGGCTGTACCGAGTCCCTCCGTCTGAGCGTACCACCTGATCACAAAGCAGACCGTAGCTGTATCAGATAAGAGAACGAGTCCCGGAAGCCGACAAACCGCACACTTGCACTTTGCAACAACTACCACTTTCCTCCCAGGTTACACCAAAACCTTTGGTTCCTCTTGCCACGGTGGAGATCTTCCAATCCACACCTCGCACGGGAATCCATGGCAACATGCCACCCTACCTTTCACCTCTGCACATAGCCAAGACTACGATACCGGCCAACTGCGAACCCGCAAACCAATTTCTCTACCACCTTTCGGCTACCTTCCATACCTGCGTACCTACCAATCTCGCCCTCCTCTCTACCCTACTGGGTACATGCAGCATTATTTCCTGGCTCTTCGCCCAGCTCCCGCAAATATACAAGAATCACAAGCTCAAATCCACATCTGGCCTCAGCCCATTCTTCCTCACCGAATGGCTCCTCGGTGACGTGACGAATCTCTTGGGCTGCCTCTTTACAGGGCAAGCATCATGGCAAATCATCATTGCTACCTACTATGTCTTCGTCGACTGTTGCCTTTGCGCGCAGTGGATCTGGTATGAGATGTTGCACCATGGCCGGCCTTTACGTCCGATCTGGGGTCGATGGAGTGCATCTGGAAATGGTGGTACGGGTTTCCCGGGCTCTGGGATGTATCAGGTGCAAGACAGCATGGCCGTGGGCAACAAAGGCAAGACTGTGAGTCCGCCAAAGACGCCGGATAACACCAAAGACAAGAGCGACGCATCGTCGGAGAGTGCAGCACGGAGCGTACCTCGCTCGAGTCCTCTAGGCACGTTCCGCATTCCAAACTTTGCACGCTCGCCCAATCCCGTCAAAGAATCATGGCAAGATACGCCCTCGGGAACATCACCAAACCCCCACGTTCGCCGGGTTGCCACCTCCAGCTCTCCCATGCCTTCCCCCAAGACCATCCTCTACATCACCCTCATGCTTGCCGTCCTCACCAACCCCTCCCTCGCAGCTCCAGTCTCCCCCTTTGCCCCAGCACCCTTGACCTACCACGTCGCCACCATCGCCGCCCCACTCCCAGATTCGCATCTCTCAACGCGCGAGATCCTAGGCAAACTCTTCTCCTGGATGAGCACCTTTCTCTACCTCGGTTCCCGGCTCCCCCAACTCTACAAGAACCAAATCCGCCGTTCCACCGCCGGCCTCTCCCCCGCCCTCTTCGCCGCCGCCTTCTTCGGAAACCTCTTTTACTCCACCTCGCTCCTCACCAATCCCTGCGCCTGGTACGACTTCCAACCCGGCCACGGCCGCGGCTGGGTCGATACCCACGGCAGCGTCCGCAAAGACTGGGTCCTACGCGCCATGCCCTTCTTCCTCGGCGCCGCCGGCGTCCTCATCATGGACGCCGCCGTCGGCCTACAGTTCCTCCATTTCCGCAACCTCCCCGACAGCCAGGAAAGCAGAGGCCGCTCCCGCTCCGACGAAATCATCATCACCCTCGACCAACACGGCAAAATGGTACGCAAGCGCCTTCATTGGCGCCGCGTCAGCGGCTGGATGAGGGGCTGGGCACCTGCTGTCAGTGTCGCAGCTACACCCAGTAGCAGTCGTGCGCCCACGCCCTCGCCGCGCAGTGCCAGTGCCGACAGCTCGACGAGCCGCTCGCATTCGCGCTCAAGACCCGGTTCGAGCGCCAGCGCTGCCATGGGCATTCCCATTAAATCCAATGGGAACGCGGGGTCGGCGCTCGAGGAGGCCAGGGCGCTGTTGGGAACAGGCAGGCATGCTAGTCCGAGGAGTTATGGGGCTGTGGGGAGTCCGAGGTGAGCTGTATGCATGGGACCTTTTTTTTATTGTCGAGGAAGTTGTGATGAAGTTGTGATGAAGTGCTAAGGGTCTTTTTTCTCTTCCTGCTTTTTTTTTTGGCAGGATGAAATTGGGAGTTTTGATTGGCTGATTGGGTTTGGTAATGCATGCTGGGCGTTTTTTTTGGTTGTTGTTGTTGTTCGCATTGTATGTTTGGCATTTTTCATTTACCATTTACGATTTACCTACTGTTTTGCCATTTGCCAAGTTCCATCTGGCGGATTTTTTAAGATTGGGGACTTTTGGGTTGTATGTTGCAATGTCTTATGGCTCCTATCTAGAGATTGAGTGTCATGTATCATGATGTCAGCATTTAGCATTTAGCATCTAGCATGTAGATGGGATATAACGACTACTACTTCAAGACAGGCTTGGAACTGAGTCTAGGAAATTAAAGGTGCATACTACCATCATATCAATATCAACGAGCACGCTTTTCATCTCTCAAGTTGTCGAGTTCCAAATCACTATACACGACTACCAACATTTACAATAACAATCCCGGGTATCACGTTGCACACATCCCTCTCCCTCCCCCAAACCCCTCAATACCGCCTCCCAACCTCCAGCCCCAGATTCTCATCAGGATTAGCAAAGCCACGCGCCCTAGGCGTAGATTTGCCTGCGACATCCTGAGGCGCCTCACCCTTGTACTCCCAGCCACCATCCTGGACAAAGAAGTCAACCTCATCAATAATATCCCAGAGAATATCTTCCGCAATTTGTTCCTTGTAGCGCTGAGAAATGGGGCGGAGCATGCGGCCTTGCGGGGTGGAAGGTTGGATATTTGCAACATCATCACCATCATGATGGGCACGCAGTTCCTCGGGCGGACACCAAAAGTCCGGACCGAAATTGACCTGGGCCTGGCCGCCGTTGAAGAGCGAAATGGCCGGGAAGTAACCGACCATGCCATCGTCGAAGCCTGGTCGCGCGCCTGCCTTGACAGCTTCGACAGAGGGTACGCTCGCGGGTGGGAGAAAGGCAAGGAGGTTTTCAAACGCGATGCCGACTTCCTGTCCGTTCTTGTAGACCTTGATGCACGAGTGCGGCAGGCTTCGTACGCTGACGTCTTCGTGGTTGGGGCTCGGGTGGATCTTGGGTACGGGACCGCGGTCGTGGTAGGCTTCTACTGTTTTGGTGACTTGGTAGTCGAGTTGTTCAAAGTAAAAGTTTCCTTTGTAGGGGACGGGGATGCGGTCACGGATGATGTCGATGGGGCGGTCAAAGGGGTCCTGGTTGCTGGCTGTGTCGAAGCCGTCGCCGAGGTCTACGGCTGGGTTGTAGATGCCCTCGACGACTTTGCGGTGCATGGAGAGGGAGGGGAGCTGGATTTCCAACCCAATCACGTCGCCTTCTTGGACATGTTGGTCGGTAATGTATTCGACGGGCATGGGCTTGCCGTGGGGTGGCCGTGCCTTCATGTGTTTGCTCTTGGCGCCTTTGGGCAGTGGTTTGAAGATCTTGGAGGCCCGCGAGCGGTGCTGTGCTTCGAAACGGGCGTCGGTGATACCGTAGCTGTAGCCGTCGAAGCCTACAGGGCCATCCAGAGGTGCTTCGCGACGTGCCCAGCCCATGCGTACGTGTGGGCCGGGCCTTGTCTCGCCGGTGCGTGGATCAATGGGGTCTTTGGGTCCGTCAGCGGGGATGCCTTTGAGGATCTTGACTTCGTAGTACAGTCGGCCCTCCCGCGCGACAACGTTGCCGCGGCCCATGCGCCAGCCTTTCTCCTGTGTGACAATGGTTGCGCTGTCGTCAAAGTAGAACCAGCGGTCCGAGTCTTCGTGGCTCATCTTGGGGCCGTAGGGACGGGCGTCGGATTGGCGGTAGTATTGTTTGTGTCGGAAAAGAGGGTCGGCGACGCAGTGGGTGTACTTGTAGCCCTTTTTGTTCCACGCAATGTCATGAGGCTTCTTGAGTTCCGTCTTGCCATCGGCCGTGTAGAGTGGAAGGGGCTCGTGTGGTAGCAATATACTGTCCTTGGGTGGCTCGTAGTCGGAAGCTCTGGGCTCAGGAATCGAGTATCGCATGGGCGAGTCCGCCAAAGGCCGCTCCTTATTTACTTTGGGCGCCGGTGTGCTTTGACGAGTGCTTGCTGATGCTTCACGCTTCTTGAGCGTCTCGCGCTTTTCCCGCTGCTCACGCGGTGGTGCTCGCGGCGGTCTTGCACGCGTCGCTCCATCAGGGTTCAGTGGGGAGGAGATGGCGGGCGCATGATCTTCCTCGAGTGGACGGCGCATGGCTGGGGGCCCCAGTGTCGGCGTGTTGGGGCGGGAATGGGGCTGTGGTTCAGCCATGGTCTCTTTCTTCGTTTGCTGTTCAAAATCTCCTGTGTTTGAATAGTTGGTTCTGGAAGCAGCAAGCCTCATGGATGGGATTTCCTGGGAAGTCGCGAAGTCGCGCCTTGCATACAGCGATCATCTGCAGCTGCTAAGTTACCGTACGGCGGGCCGTTTGTGCGCGGGAGACACCCCACTACTTTTTTTGTTCCCGTCCAGTGGACTCGTACCGGTACTACTGACTTTGAACTTTTTGTATATTCGAGACGACACGACTACAGCACACTGTACGCCAAAATATACGGCAAGACTCGCGAGGAAATTGTAGCGAATCTGCGCCTCCTTTTTCACACTCGACATCTCCTCGCCTTTCACAGTACCACACGACCACAACGATGCCCAAGGCCCCAAAATCGCCTGGCGCGCGCGATCAGCGTCATAACCCTCTGGCAGAGGAATATGCGCCCTCGGATCCTTTCAAAAGCAAACCTGCGAAGCGACAGAAGCGCAACAAGGAAGACAAATCTGAGGAACAGAATTTTGTCGATTCAAAGAGCTCGCGCAAGATCCTAGACATTGGCCGAGAACTGGAAGAAGAGGATGAGAGGGAGAATCAGAGCAGGCGACCAAAGGAGCCCAATGCTGCCTTTGATTTCGAGTCACGCATGGGCGAGGATGATGTGGCCGGAGAAGAGATGGAGCGATTGGAAGATGACGAGGAGGGGTGGGGTGAAGACGACGAGGAAGTTGAGGAAGTTGAGATCGATGCGAATGACCTCGAAGCATGGAACAAATTCATCCCCACAGACGACAACCCCATAGTCTGGCCGGGCGAGGAAGCACAACCACAAGGTCCTGGCACAGATCTAGCTGCCCTCATCCTCGAGAAGATTGCTGCACACGAGGCCGGAGGTGGCCAAGTACAACATCCAGAGATTCAAGGCGGTGGTGCTCCAGAGGATGCGATAGAGCTGCCTGCAAAGGTGGTTGAAGGTACAATGCACTACTCATTCGGCAATACCTCGAAACTAACAGTCCACAGTCTACTCAAAAGTTGGTCTCATCATGAGCCGCTACAAATCCGGCAAACTCCCCAAGCCCTTCAAGATCCTCCCCACCCTCCCAGCCTGGGAGACTCTCATCGCGATCACACACCCAGAGAACTGGACTCCAAATGCCATGTTCGCCGCAACACGCATCTTCATCTCTGGGAAACCACAGACGGCGCAAATCTTCCTCAACACCATTTTACTACCCTGCGTGCAAGAAAATATCCAAGATACCCACAAGTTAAACGTACACTTGTACAACGCACTGAAAAAGGCCCTCTATAAGCCCAGCGCCTTCTTCAAGGGTGTTGTGTTCCCCATGCTAACAGAAGGATCATGTACGCAACGCGATGCCGTGATCGTCGCGTCTGTCGTAGCCAAAGTCTCGGTCCCAGTCCTGCACTCCGCCGCCGCCCTGCACCGTCTCTGTGAAATCGCAGCCGAGCAAATGTCTTCTGACCCCGACGCCGCAGGGCCCTGCAATATCTTCATCAAGACACTGCTCGAGAAGAAGTACGCACTCCCGTACAAAGTCATTGATGCACTAGTCTTCCACTTTTTGCGCTTCAGGGCCGTAGGCACAGGACAGGATGCCATGGATATGGATGGTGCGGGTGCGGGGGATCTAGCACATGCGGGGAAGTTACCGGTGATTTGGCATCAGTGTCTTTTGGCGTTTGCGCAGAGGTATAGGAATGACATCACGGAGGATCAGAGGGAGGCCCTTCTCGACCTTCTCTTGACAAGAGGACATAAGAGCATCAGCCCCGAGGTGAGGAGAGAGTTGCTAGAGGGAAGGGGGAGGGGCGTTATGATTGAGCCGTCTGCTGTGGGGATGGATGGTGATGATACCATGATCATGGCCGTGGATGGATAGAAAGAAGTACTTTTGTTTTGTCTTGTTTTCAGGTGTTGAGTGCCTGGGAAAACGATGAGGAAGGCTACGAATTCATGTACTTTGTATGCCGTGATCTTGGTTGCAGTCTTTGCTACCCATCATCACTCTATTTCACGCACCATGCTTGCCAATTCCATGCTAGAATCATTTCTCCGTGCCCCATGAGCACACCGCACAGTATGTTTAGTACAGCTACAAAGTTTTCCCAACGTCATCCCATCAATCTGTAGACAGAGGAAAAAGGATTTCGAATATCGGAGATGAATCGGAGATGCGTCGCCGATTGATCGGTATACAGCGAGTTTAGAGCGAGAACATGCCGCTGCGGATCCGAGTCGACTTGGAATTAGGGCTGTCTGGCTGAGAGAGAGTTTGGCATTGGGTGTTGTGCATCACTTTGGTTTTGGGAAAGGGCTGGGATTTTGCTTGTAGAGAGTGGCGGGCTGTTGGTTGTGAGTGGTGGGTTGGGTTGATGAGTGTGAGTGTTCAGGTGTATCATGTCTTTTGCCAAGGCTGTGAATGCCATGCCCTTCCTCGTAACCCAAGATAGGTAGGCCGAGGGAGCTAGTGGGAATGAGTCTGACAATTAAATGCATGTGCTAAAGAGTAAGAAAAGCCCAACGCTACTTGAACGATCTGTGTCATGAAATGGAGTCTAGAACGCATGTGCACTTTGCTGGATAGTTGTAGCATTGGGCACAAAACGTTCTGGTGCATTGGACAGGGCACCATGCGGGCTGTCAAGTGTCGTCTATAGTACCCATTCGTGAGCCCTGTGTGGTCGTGCGTTCAAGGACAGGACAGCTCGACACGCACGGCTCAAGGGATGTGCCAAAGCCAGAACGACTCCCTTTTACCCTTCCGTCGCCTGGTGTCCGGGTTTCTGAGGCTCTGCTGGGACTCGCTACCGGCGCCGAGCCGACGGAGTCAGAGGCAAGGCATGGCACAGAGGGCTAGACAGTCACACTTGTTTGTGTAAAAGAAATGACCATGGGTATAGGGGGGAAGTGTAGAGTACGTAGTCGTTGTGACTGTCGACTACTGGTATGCGGCATGAAAGTCTGTGATGGGCGTGGGAGGGAGGAACATGTCCATTTCCAAGACAATGCCTTCCCCCCCCCCCTCTCTCTTTTCAACCTGCCTTGGAAATGACGTGTGGGGAGTGCGGCTCACCCATCAACGTTTGAAGCTGAACCGCACAAGCATAGGCTCTCTTGTTGCAAAAAAAATGGCAGACGTGCTTTGATTGGAAAAAGGCTTATCTGTGGCGCAAATTGGCATCCCTGTTGTGCGCATTGATGGAGTGGGTGCGGGAGTGCTGGGCGAGCACTGTTCGTCATCGCAAGGAAAAAGTTCATCAGCTCCGGGACGCCGACGCGACGACTCCTCAACACCTTCTGTCCGCACTCAGCACTGCCTCTCTCTTTCACCCCCCCCCCCCCTTCCCCTCCCTTCAATCGTTGATTAAATCTGCCATTGCGCCTGTGAAGCCAGCTGCCACAGCTTCCCACACACCCAATGGCTCCTACCATGCGGCCTCTTGCTGCTGCCAACATGCTGTCACAGGTCCAGCTGGCTGGACGCAGGGCCTACACCTCGCAGCGGCCTTCCCTCATGGCCAAGCGCGCACAATGGACCCCGCGGCCAGCACAGTCGAACATTGTCCTGCGCCAAACCATCCGCCAGCAGTCGACGGGGCCTTCGCCAAAGCCCAAACGTTTCCGCCTCCTGCGCTGGACATGGCGCTTCACTTACCTCTCAGCCATCGCCGGCCTGGGCTACGTTGGATATGGCATCTACGAGTCGCGCAACCCAGCAGACCAGCCGCCACCCGACCCAAGCAAGAAGACGCTCGTGGTTCTTGGTGAGTAAGCCCGTGGGACAGGGACAGTGCGTGCGTGCAGCATCGGGGCCATCAAGCTGACAGGCTACAAAGGTACCGGCTGGGGATCCGTCTCCCTGCTGAAGAAACTCGACACGGAAAACTACAACGTCATTGTCGTCTCGCCACGCAACTACTTTTTATTCACTCCCCTTTTGCCATCATGTACGGTTGGCACCATCGAGCACCGCTCCGTCATGGAACCCATTCGCAACTTCCTGCGCCACAAGAAGGCCAGTGTCACATACTACGAAGCCGAGGCCACCAAGATCGACTACGAGAAAAAGGTCGTCTACATCAGCGACGACTCGGATATCAAGGGTGACCTTTCCAAGAACGAGGTTCCCTTTGACATGCTGGTCGTGGGCGTGGGTGCCGAGAATGCGACCTTTGGTGAGTTGGAGACCAAAGAACATGGATAGACTGAAGTCGACTAACAAAACCTAGGCATTCCCGGTGTCAAGGAGCACGGCCTTTTCTTAAAAGAGGTTGGCGACGCCCAGCGCATCCGAAACCGCATCATGGACTGCTGCGAGACGGCTACCTTCAAAGACCAATCGGAGGAGGAGAAGAAGCGTTTGCTACACATGGTCGTTGTGGGCGGAGGCCCCACTGGTGTTGAGTTCGCCGGTGAGCTCCAAGATTTTTTCCACTCCGACTTGAAGAAGTGGCTCCCCGAGATCCAGAACGACTTCAAGGTCACCCTGGTCGAGGCTCTGCCCAACGTTCTGCCCATGTTCTCCAAGCAGTTGATTGACTACACCGAAAAGACCTTCAAGGAGGAAACCATCACCATTCGCACAAAGACCATGGTCAAGAACGTGACAGAAAAGTACATCGAGGCCGAATCAGCGGGCCCCGATGGCAAAAAGCAGGTCGAGAGGATCCCCTACGGTCTTCTCGTCTGGGCCACAGGTAACGCACTCCGACCAATCGTCAAGGACCTCATCAACCAGATCCCCGCACAAAAGGACTCCCGCCGCGGTCTTGCTGTCAACGAGTACCTCGTTGTCAAGGGTACCGAAAATGTCTGGGCTGTTGGTGACTGCGCTGTTGCCAACTACGCCCCCACCGCCCAGGTCGCCGCCCAGGAAGGTGCCTTCCTCGCTCGCATGTTCAATCAGATGGCCAAAACCGAGGCCATTGAGACTGAGCTCAAGGAGCTGTCAGTTGCTCAGGAGAAGGCACCCGATAAGGAGGCTCGTGACAAGGTCTTTGCCGAGATCAAGTCGTTGCAGCAAAGGCTGCGAAGAGTCAAACAGCTTGGACCTTTCGAGTACTCCCACCAGGGTTCGCTCGCCTACATTGGATCTGACAAGGCCGTTGCCGATATCTCATGGTTCGCTGGAAACATTGCCAGCGGAGGCACGATTACCTACATTTTCTGGCGAAGCGCCTATCTCAGCATGTGCTTCAGCACCCGCAACAGGATCTTGGTCCTTCTCGACTGGATGAAGGCCAAGGCTTTCGGTCGCGATGTGTCCCGTGTTTAGACGCCACCCCCCTGTCTTTTCACTCCTTTGTCAAGATATTCCCAAAAGTTCGACTCGTCAAAGCAAAGTCCCATGGAAACGCACCTTCCCGTCGTCTTTTGAATGACCTGTTTGTGACACTCTTTCCTTCGCTTCTGTGCGAATTCCCCGCACACCCTCTTGTATAACTGTAATGCACTTGTTAGCAGGAACTTGATCTGAGACACGAGTGCTCTCTGGGCTGGTCGAGCTTGGCGTTTGGCGGCCTTTGATAAGCGGTTTGCGTCGTTCGATAGACTTCTGAGTTTTAAACCGTATGTATGCTTCGAAGCGAGATATAGGGAGAAATGAAATGGTGGATTACTGGTTATCGAGATGACTATGGCCGATTTGCCAAGATGCTGCGTCTTGTTCGAGCGTGGCTTGGGTTTGTGCGAGAGCTTTTGTACATCATTGTTTTTTTCCGTACATGATGCACAATTTTTTTTTCTCCCTGCGCTGATTCCCTGAAGTACTTCTTAGTACAGACGAGTTTGCAGTGTCCCTCGCCCTACGCTCAGTTGTACGGTAGGACGCGTAGTTCATGATGTGTACGACGGCCGATTTCGGACTGTACTTGTAACTTGACCAACTTGTCGGGGATAACCACGCCACGTACGTTAGAACACAGTGACGTCTCACAACATTCGTTAGAATAAGAATTGATCTGACGAAACGGAATCCTTGTCATCAAATTACTACTCCACAGCTTTATACGGCAATTCCGTTGGTCTATTGATGAGTTGCACTTGAGACCTGTTGGCGCGGAGTTAAGTTAAACATTTGCTTAATGCGTAGTTACCGGTACTAGCTCCATGTATCCTGGACGTCGTTGATCCCGCGCCCTACACTTTCTCACTTCTTTTCCTAGAATCGGAACCGTGGGTAGACGGATAGACAGCAGGAAAGTTACATATCTTGTGAATAGACCGTCTTCTTTTCGTCAAAACATTATCCTACACTTTTCAGTCTTTCCATTACCCCGCCATGGATTCTTCACAGTTTCGCGACGCAGCCAAGAGTGCTATTGAAGAGAGTGAGTTTTATAGAAGCCCTAAATGGTACTTTTTATTGACGATTTTATAGTTGCAAACTACTACGACACATTAGAGGAACGCCCGGTGCTTCCATCAGTCGCACCAGGCTATTTACGTCCACTCATCCCATCTTCTGTCCCTGAAGAGGGTGAATCATGGGAGACGATCCAGGCCGATATCGATCGTGTCATCATGCCCGGACTAACGCACTGGCAATCACCGAAATTCATGGCTTTCTTCCCATGTAATTCGTCCTACCCAGCCATGTTGGGTGACATGTACAGTGGCGCTTTCAATGCTGCTGCTTTCAATTGGGTCTGCTCACCTGCCATTACCGAATTGGAAACTGTCATGATGGACTGGGTGGCCAAGTTGCTTGCCCTTCCGAAGGAATTTCTGAGCGACGGGGAAGGAGGCGGAATCATCCAGGGTACGGCGAGCGAGGTTGTGGTCACAGCGGTCGTCGCGGCGCGAGAGAGAATGGTGAGAAGGAAACTCGGGGGTGCACCGGAGAGCGAGGAGCAGATGGACCGCGCAGCAGATATCCGCGGGAAACTCGTCGCTCTGGGATCAGAGCATGCCCATTCGAGTACCCAGAAGGCTGCCATGGTCGCAGGAACACGTTTCCGCACCGTTCCTGCGCCAAAAGAAACTGGTTTCTCTGTCACCGCGGCCGCCCTCCGCAAAACCGTTGAGGAGTGTCGTGCCAAAGGCCTCGAGCCATTTTACTTCACTGCTACACTAGGCAGCACAGGGACCTGCGCAGTAGACGACCTCGAGGGCATCGCCGAACTCTCCAAAGAATACCCAGACCTATGGATCCACGTCGACGCAGCATATGCTGGCTCTGCGCTCATCTGTCCAGAGTACCAACACCTCTGCCCGCCCCTCGCCGCATTCGACTCCTTCAACTTCAACCTCCACAAATGGCTCCTCGTCAACTTCGACTGCTCCGCCTTCTACATCAAGCGCAGAAAAGACCTCATCGACACCTACAGCATCACACCCACCTACCTCCGCAACCCCCACTCCGACAAAGGCATGGTCACCGACTACCGCGACTGGCAAATCCCCCTCGGCCGCCGCTTCCGCAGCCTCAAAGTCTGGTTCGTACTCCGCTCCTACGGCGCCCACGGACTCCGCACTTTCATCCGCTCACATATCCAACTCGGCACCTACTTTGCCTCCTTGCTGCATTCCCGCCCAGACATCTTCAGCATCACCACCGCTCCCGCCTTTGGCCTCACTACTTTCCAAATCAAACCCAGGACCCCCACTGCCGCATCGACGGCCAAGGCCAACGAGCCGGACCCACGACACGAGGCGTATGCGAATGACTTTTTGCCCAATGCAGAGGCGCAGTATTTGGAAAATGTGAATGCGAAGACCAAGGAGGTGTATGAGCGGATTAACGAGGGCAGGGAGTTCTTCTTGACGAGCACGGTTGTGGGCGGCTTGTATGTCATTAGGGTGGTTAGTGCGACGTTGAAGAGTGAGGAGAGGTATATGAAGGCTGTGTTTGAAGCGCTTGTGGAGGCTGCGGAGGGGCGGCGTGTAGGGTAGAGGGGGAGTTGGGCTCAGGCTGAGTTGTGGAGGGAGATATAGGGCTGTGTGTGGTTTATCAGATAGAAGTAAGACGATCAACAATCAGATGGGTGGAATTCTTACATCAGAGTATACCGTTGTATAATTGTGCTTTGGACGCCAGTCCCCTGAACAACTACGAACATACCGTCAATACATTCCCAAACCCTGCAAAAGCACTCAAAAATATCTGCAAGACTCGGAATAACCAGACTCCAAATACACCCTCCCAGCCATGTGATACTAGCTTAACTTTTTGGGGCTGAACGCTTGAAAAGCTTGAAAGTAGGGATGGCACTTTTCTAATATGCGTGATTAAGTAGCTAAGTATAGATATATCCTGACGTTTTGTTGCTCTTTTCCTTTCTTTACTTTATCGTTTTGTGGATTTTCCTTCTAGGGACGCGCTGGTGTGTTCGTCGGTTGTGCTCTTTTGTTAAATGGAAGACCCGGGACACGATAGCGAGGACGGAGATTGTATCCAGTTCAAATAGATAGCCACTTCGACGAATCTTTTCACCCACTTGATTGCCAGACTTCTTATTCACTCAGCCTTGGCTCAGTAGCCCAACAGCCACGGTGTGGAATTGAAAGCCCACATCGCCGTATCATGCGCATGTTTCATATTGTCACTACGCTGGGCAAGAAAATTCCACTCGATATATCAGAAATCGATGAGACGTGCGTCCTCGCCGATGTTGAGGCGATGTACAATGGTCGTAACCCGGATAGTGAGGACGAAGCCGAGTTCACTGGCAATGAAACATGCCGGCTGAGTGTCGTCATCACACCAGTATTATCCTCTTGTTGCGTAGGGACTACTTCATCAAAAGCTTCGCATCAGTCGAGTATCCTTTATTCGATTCTTTGTCGAATATGTTCGAGCTGGTGTGCGATGACGTTCACTGCCCCAAAGACTTGCGCCGCAAAGCCATGGCTTCCATCCTAGAGAAGGCGTTATTAGTCGTCGCGAAAGGCGGTGTTTCCACAATCAGTGACCGGTACTATCAATCATTCATGTTTATGGGCTCCGGGTTATCCACAGAAAGAGCCCACGTCGCATACGCAGAGCTCTTCCAAGCTGTTACGGAGAAATTATATATTGCAACGGGTGATGGCTCCGTTGTTAGTGAAATGCTCCAGCAAACTATGTCAGATAGTTCATGGGTCAACTCAGATCAGCTAGTGAAACTGGTCTCAAAGCCACATAGCACGAGAAACAGCGGACGGCGGGGCTGCAGCTTGGGAAAAATTGTATGTTTGTACAGCATTGTATATGCCTCATTACTTATAGCAAACAGGTTCTCGTCGCCCCCGCCGCCCGTACTGACATACAACGCTGTCGCGTTTTCGAAAAAGCACAACAGATTCTACCGCCAGTCGCGATCCCGACCTTCATTGAGCGGCTCTTTACATTCAACCGACACAGCCCCGTGACTGGGCTCGACCGCACGTTTCCCGTTCAAGATGTGATTGCGAACCCTGCCGGGCCGTCAAATCCTTCCTGTTGAATCCCACGCTACCTTCAGGCTACTTCACGTACAACGAGCCAACTCGGAAGCACATCCAGTACAGCTTCAACGACCCCAACGACTTTAAATTCGAGACACAAATGGGAAGATTGCCGCATACACTTGTCATTCACAAGACTAATAATCAATACATGCGCGCACTGCAGGAGTCGAACAAGGAAATTGATGCTCTTCACACTCAGCTGCAGAGCATGAGGAGCGAATTCTTGGAAACCATACTGGGAGGCAATGTGGTGACGATTGCACGTGTTGGCAAGTCAGGTTTAATGGGGGCTGCAACTGGAACTGCGGCAGAAGCTGGGGCTGAAGGAACAGGACAACCACCACCACCAGCTTCCCATCAACCGTTACAGCCTTTATCCGCTTCGGCGGTGAATTCAACAACGGCGCATCCATCCCTCCCTCCTCTGTATACTATCTTGAAGCCGTTGCAGCCTACATCCGCGTCGATGCCGATTTCGGCAACGCCGCGTTCAACTTTACCGCCTATATCCGGTGGCCAGAAGCCGTATATCATTGATCTGACTGAGGATGAGGAACCGTAAGTATGCCGTGTGCGAGATCATAGGAAGTGTATTACTGTTCATGTTAAGTGATAGGGTGGCCGCTGAGTAATACGAAGATGAGGAATACTGCTCTTGGGAGATGGGGGACCTCAACTTTCGAACCTGGGATGTAGCGACTTGTCAAGTATTTTGAAGTTTGTGACAATTTGCATATGGGAACAGACTCTACTTTTTTCTTGGATATCTGATGCCGGATTTTGGTATGGACTGGATGCTGAAAATAATAGTTTTAATAATAGTGCAATCGTGGGACTGAAGCAGAAGAAAGACGGGATATTATACTGTATATGATCCATACATTTCCCAACACCGTCGTTGCCAACCTCTCTCACTCACTCTCTCTCTCTCACTCACTCTCTCTCTCTCACACACACACCAATAGAGTTGCACCCTATTCACGCGGCAAACCACCTCTTCACCTCCCTAAACTTCTCCCCCGCCCCATCACAAATTCCATCCCACATCGCCCTCTCGGCAGCCTCCTCAATTTCCGCAAGCTTCGTATACGCATACGGCGCAAAATACCCATACAAACTCTGCAAAACCCACGGTTTATTGCCACACCCCCGTGTCCAGCTTGCCTCCAAGGTTTGAAATAGTAAATGCAACTTGGCGTCGTCAGCCTGGACATCAGGGAAAGCACGGGCATCTTGGAGCTTAGGGGCCACAGGATCCGCGATACTTGGGTGACGCGCGAGAATGCCGTACAAGATATCAATGCACCCCAACACATCCGCTGTGAAAGGCTGGGAAGCGGTATGTGCCAGGCTCGCATCGTACCTCTCCGCAGCCTCCCCCTCCCGCCTACTACAATACGCCGCACCCTCGAAGTCAATGAGTTTAATCTTGGGTAAACTATGCAAGCCCCCATAATCGTCAAACTCACCCTCATACCCGATCATGATATTTCCAGCAACCAGATCCCCATGTACAACCGCCGGCTGACAGACTCTGTGCAAAAATTCCAGTGCCTCGAGCAACTGCACGAATACCAGCCATGCAAACTCCTCTGGCAAACGGGGGTACACACACTGCAGTGCCTCGAGGGGACATCCGAACCCGAGTGCAAATGTCGTGGTGGTGAACCATTGGGGTATAGTACGGCTCTCATCCCAGTCCAACAGGTGGAAGAAGCGGTCTTGAGCGTGGTGAGTGGCAGCGTGCGCGCGGATGGCACGGAGGATTGTGATTTCATTCTTCAGGGATATATTTTCTGGTGAGGGCCTATGCGGGATTTTAGCTACGATGAGGTGGGGTGTTAGGGTGGTGGAGGGTGGTGCACTTGGGGTGCTGGGACTTATGTGGTGTTGGTGATGGGATGGGAGGCTTGCCTTGGGGAGGCAGTAGTGAGCACTACTTCTAAGGCCAAAGCCGGCTTCGGTGATGTGGCTGTATTGGGAGGAGCACAGTTCGGAGAATAAGCTTTGTTTTTTTGTGTCGTTCCATCTAGTTAGACAAAGCGGAGTGTCTCGAAGTAGGATGAGTCGGTCCATTGGGATGGCGGAGGTAGTGCAGTGCTGGGATTGATGCTGCTGTGTTTTTGCTTGGAGGGAATGAGAGGGTGTTGTGATATCGTAATTGAACTACTAGGTTGTGCAGGAGATTTTGATCATGTTGGGAAAATGAAATATGTGCTTTCTGCTAAGCATTGTGCGTATGCTGTAACAGCAATGTTGCATCCTCATTGTTAATATAGCTCTACACAATGTTACTTGGTTATTACAATGATAATGCTAGATGTTCAGACGCCACATGCTGCAAAAATGCATCAACATAGGAATAACTCTAATCTCATTGAACATCATTTCTTCTTAAATCTGTTAGATTGAGTAGGTGTTACCGGCATGTCTAGGCCGGCTACGGTGCGGTTTCCAAAGGAGCACCATCCAGCTTGAAGTAGCCAGGCTGTAATTTCTCAAACACGCCGGTAGGGTCGTACTTTTTCGAGATAGCTTTGAGTCGTGCTTGATTTACAGAGCCATAGCCTGCAACCGGATCTTGGTAGGGACTGGCGTAATTCATGTAAATGTACGAGCTTGCTTTGCCCTTCGCCTCCGCAGCAGCGATAGCGCGATTCATGACCTTGGTTGCGAACTCGTTGAGACGAGAGTCATCGGCACTGTCAGACCACTTTATGGAGATCAAGGCAAGCATGAGCGGCCCGTCCTTTGGGTCCAAACCGAGTGAATTGCCTCCTCTTGTCTTTGTCTTCTGAAGTATGGGCTCAGTAAGCACCTGAAGTGAGAGGGCAGGCAAAACATCTGCTGCATCCAGTATGGATGAAATCTCTTCGAAGAATATATCCTTGGTAAGGGTAGCCAGCTCCTTGTCAAGCTTGACAGTCCAGGTCCAGAAGCTCTGTCTGAGTCCAGCACCGACAGCCGACTCTGCCAGCAAATTCGTGAGTTCCGCGAGACTTCTGATGCCCGTGATATCCTGGAGGGCACCAGGGATAGCGTTGTATTCCGCAAGAATTGTTGCGTTGGGGTTTGGATCGGCATATTCTAGCTCGACGTTTGCGACTGGGACTCCGCCCCAACTGAATGAGAGGATCTGGTGAGCTTTGCCGTCCTTGTTCGCATTCATGCCGAGGTTGAAGTACGCTTCGATCACAGCGGCGAATTGCGTCTCCCTGTATACTCGCATACCACCCCACATGGTGGGAGATCGAGGGACAGTTCGGGCATTGAATTGTGTAACAAGGCCAAAGTTGTTCCCACCGCCACGCAATGCCCAGTAAAGGTCCGGGAATGAGGTAGGAGTGGCCGTAACAATCATCCCGGATGCTGTAACAAGCTCGTAAGATTCTACGTTGTCGCATGCCAATCCATATTCACTCGAAAAGTAAGAAAGTCCTACAGGTGATTTGATTAGCAATTGCTTCAAGAGCTTATGGCAATTTGACATTTCTTACCTCCTCCGAGAGTCAAGCCGCCCACGCCAACAGTAGACACCTAATAAAACATTAGAGCCCACAACTTAGTCATCTCCATGATTTACTAACCCGGCCTCCAATGACAGTAAGATTGTCCTTTTCTAAAGCGGAGTAAATGTCAAGCCATGTGTGTCCAGGCTGAAACGATGCAATCTTCGTATCGCTCGATAAGGCAATCTGGTTCATCTTTTCGAAACTGATCGTCATTCCATTGTCGATGTTTGAGCCTCCTGACACAGCAGAATGACCTCCACTCTTGGCTGCAAATGGGCATTGCGTCAAACGCGCGAGCAAAACAGCAGTTGAGACATCCAGCGCTTTCTCGGGCTTGAATACACATTGTGGAGATAGCTCTCTTTGTTGGCCCGACCATAGAGTAGTGATGAAGGCAGTGTACGCGCTTTCTGCCCGAGTTTCTACTTGGCCGTCGCCAAAGATGGCACTTAGAGACATGCACTATTTGTTGGTCAGTCGACACATGGTCGTTATATCGAAAAGGATGAAACTCACAGCAGCCGAACAACCGCCAGGTCGTGAGCCATCAACGAATGGTGCCAGATCAGGAATGGCCGAGACGTTGACTCCGTTATCGAGCAAGGCTTCGGTGATGTCAAAGTCCGCTGGCTCGAATGCTGTTTGAGCTACCACACCCGCAGCGAGTGTGGTAAGGGCAATACTGGTCTTCATGCTTGCCGTGCTGATAAGCGATGCTGTGAAACCAAGGAAACGAGCGACGTGTAGCAAGCAAAGACGTTGGCCAGGATATGGGACGGAAATTAGACTTTTTAAGCCAACATTTAAATTTCATGCCTATGGAAGCATGGTACTGTAGTAGTTAAGAACAGATGGTCAGGGCCCAGACCTTGTGAAATGAGCACCCCCATGACGGTAGGGATCAATTGCATTGGCAAAGAAGAAAAAAGTCTTTGCAATACGCAAATACGATTTTCCCTCGAACTAGGGCCTGTTGCGCAGTCATGTAACATACGTGCTGGGATCAGCGCGAGATCTAGTCCTGTTACATGCGTCGACTACCATTATGTACGACCGTGCCTGGTAGTGCATTGTGGCAGTATCGGCGGCGACTATCTTGTAACGTTACGGTAAGCTCTTCTTTGATAAGGCCGAGCCCATTGAGGATTGCATAGTCTGAATCTTCGAGATCTGGTTCCCATTGCGAATCTGTTGGCACGTTCAACCTCTGCTTGTGAAGATGTTTGTAGGAGACGAGGCTCCATGTCCTATATTCTGATAGAAGAATGGGTGAATGACCTGCTCCTGTTCCGTGCGGATTCCTACCTACAAGCGGCTTGGACGTGAATGAACCCCTGCTTGAAGCCAAGAACCGCCATACGAGATGGAACCTTTGGAACCTTTACCGCACCGATTCACCGAGACTGACGATCCCTCATACGCGCTGTTGTCAACGATAAGTAACAACACCGGATTCTAGATCCCCAGACCGTGTGACGATCAAGGTCCGGCGGATAATAATGTGGATATCTACTATTGCGAACTGATGAAGGGGGGTGGGGGGAGGAGGCGGACTAGCTCCTTGTACCGGCACCGGTAAGTTACATCTCACGGCCACACGCGGCACGGGAGACGGCACACATTCGCCGATCTCTGGTCCGCTCCTCCTAACGCTCCACTGGTTCACCTACCTACCGGTACACCACGACATAGTATGTATACAACATCCTGTCATGCCTTGCTAAGCTACGTCTGGGACTGTTATCATGACCCCTAAACGCGCCTCAATTCACGCACGCTCAGCCGCAAACAGACAGGCACCATACCACCAGGGCGAGACTCTTCAAGCCAAGGGCTGGATCCAGCACATGTACCGGTACATCTCAATTTTGGGTCGCATTTATAGGTCTAATGAATGAAGGGTCGACTAGTGTTGTCAAATCAGTACACTCGGATGGTGGTAATGACTGCACATCTCGGTAAGATGATCAGATTTGCGATGACAGAGATTTAAATGACGACAATTCACTACAAAGCTCCTGTGTAAGCAGATCGTCGACAGGGGAGAACTAGACCACCGGACTACATAATGCAGTTGTCCAAGCCAGTGAAGCGATGTTGTCAACATCAGACCTAATAGACTTAATAATTTTGGGTAAAGTACGGGACTTTATTCCCAAATCTGTTTCCCTGTTTCACTTTTCCAGTACATTAACGCTCGATGTGTAGTATAACGTTCTGTCATCTCCACTCCGGTCGCTATACACCGTCTGCTCCGGGCTGATTTAAAGCTTTCTCGTCCTAGTAGTTACTCTAGTTCTTACTTTCCCAGACCTATAGGCTCATATTGGCAGCACAGCAATCAGTGTCGGATACAGATGCAGATTCGGGAGCACAGGATGAGTATTTACCAGTTCATTGTCATATGTCATGATGCAGACTGATCTTAAAAGCCTCAGATTGTGGACTTGTATGATCTACGACACTGGAGTCCTCTCACACCGCTGTATCACACTGTGTTATGATTCGCTAGAACGCATACAAAGGCAAATGGCCTTAACTATCTTTCAAGTTCTACCACAGCATGACAATAAATTATATGACTTCTGTACCTTGTGTCAACATCCCATGGCAATAAACTAATCTCAACGCGCTTTTCAAAAGTTTCGGAGGTGGGCTACATGCGAATCGTCGACGCCATGGTCGCTCTCACCACAAAGAGTGGCCTTTGGTATATAAGGACTACAATAAGATTTACTCACAATCTGTTGCGCAGGATACGAAGACCAAGAGCGGTCACACGGGCTTATGCTCTTCGAAACCGATGAGTCTTTATAGTATTCATGTGATAACATTGCGAATATATTAACCAATGACAGCTCGGAGACATCATTGGCGAAGGTGACCTAAACGTGGGATACGATGGTCAACAATCACACATTTACCCTGCTAGAGTGTACCATTGAAGTATGTGGCGTTCGGGTGGGAC